AAAAGTTAGAGAGTGGATTGATATGCACTCCCTATGTGCCTACCAGGGAACAACTTGCTGATATACTTACTAAAGGTGTTCAAAATCCTGTGTTCAAAAAAACTTTGGACAAGCTGGGAATGAAAGATCTCTTCCATCCAGCTTGAGGGGGAGTGTTGAAGATTCTGAAGTAATTAAGGCAGATTTGAAGCTGATTTGTTGGGAGTAAAAACAGAAAGTCAGATATCCTTTCCTATAAATCAGAACCTAGCAATAGTACCTATTTATGTGTAGTTAATAGTTGTTCTAATATAGATATGTAGATGTTGTATATATTCAACAATTCATTATGAAATAAAGTGAGAAGTCAGAATTTAACAACTCTCCATACATCCAGCACAATTTTGTGTAGATGACTTCAAAAGGATAAAATGCTCACCAGAATCGACAATGATTTCCCCAGCCAATGCATGCCCCAAGCCAAACACAATGATGGTCAAACTGAAGAACACATCTATCACAATCATGGCAATGCTTCGCTCGTGGAGGCTGCAATTATGGCAAAGAAAAAAAGTAAACAACAACCAAATGCTACCATAATGGTGAAATAGAGTTTCTTGAAAAGAAAAGAAAAGAGCATGTCTGTAACAACACAGCTCCATCAGAAAATTCATAATTTATGCAGTCAAATGATGGTCAAAATACCAACATCAGGAGAAATAAGACCACAGAGCAGGAAAAGCAGGATGTCTGGAAATTGGCTAAATTTCTACAGAGGTTTAAAGCATCATCAGTTAGGACCAAGGTTTTTACTCAGCAACCTAATGCAACCTCATGTTTCTATCAAAATTATTGGAAACAGAACATTAGTTACTTTTTTAGGACAAATTCCCGCAAAATGTGTGAATTTTTAGTTCAATGCAAGAGAAGGAAAAGTTGTCCATGAAGGACATTGCAGTGAACTTTGACAGGTTAGTGATGGGTAAGTACTTCATATGATCTCTGATCATTTTTCTTCTGCATATTCATTTGTAGATTGATGAGATGATCATTTAATATAGTCTATCAAATATTGGAAAAAATAAAACAGCAATAGAGAGAGCAATTTAAGTGCAGTTAAACTTCAATGTTTAAGGGGGCATTGCACCAAATCTTGGGCTTGAATTCACAGGGGTGTATGTTCAAGTCTTGGGGACCAACTGATTTGTGCAAAAATGCTGAAGGATAAAACACCATCCAAATTCTCCATCCAGAACTTTTCAAGGGGCTCATAGTTAAGTAACTGCCTCCATGAGAAATAATTGGGAACAAAAATTCATTTAGGCACTATTAGAAGCTCCACTCACCCTAAATAAGTCGACCTTCTTTCTTATATAATCAATAGAACAGTATGAAAGCACATACTTCTAGATTTAAGCATTCTAGAGTTGGAATGAGATTTTAATTGATGCAACTGAGTGTATAACACAAACTAGGATGTAAACATGAGATAAGAAATACCTGTTCAACATTGCAAAAGGAACATGTCAAAGTTCTGTGAAAAAAGGCAAAGTAGTCAGTAGTAGAGTATGTTAGTTTTTAAATAGATACAGAACAACTGTATCTTCTTTTACCCTTTGTAATCATCACATGAAATCATATAGAAATGAACTCAGTGGCACTACAATCTATTCAATTTCCTGATTTATACCTCTGCTAAGATTTTGTTGAACATCATGTTATCAAATTGAAGAAAACAACAGAAATTAATAATGGGGGGACTTAAAAACTTCATCATCTTCACTTTTCAAGACCTTATGTCCAGACCTTTTGCATCAAATCACATAATCTTCTAAATTCAAGACTCCGGATACAGTTAAGATTTCGTCTAGGCATTGGCACTTTTTGAACAAACGAAGTTCTTTTTACATCTAAAGTTATCTCACTGCCACTCCAGTCAAGAACAAGCAATGACTGTCTTTGGTCAAGTGGATAACAATCCAATCATCATCTAAGAGGTATCAATACACTAAAGCCAGCCAATCATCTTGTGACACAACAGACCAACATGCCAAAGGAAGGGATTCCTGCATGTAGCCAGCATTCATAGTTGTCATTGATTAAAACATTAAGCACACATATCTGCAAAGCACTTGCATACCTAACAGACGTTCCAGGTGGATACAAGTCCAGAACAAGCTTTGTCCAAGATGTAACATTACTTCCTGGAATATTTCTTTCTGACTGACTTCCTTCCACAGTAATAGCCAAGCTACCATTTTTGCTTGAAGCAGGCTGTCTTTGCTTAAACATTATAACAATTAATAGTCAGAGAGATCAATCTGAATGCAGTTCCACTCCAGTTTATTTTAATTAGTGTTATTTGCAATAATTTCCTATTAAAAGAAACTTCAAAATCAGGGCTTACTTGGACATCATTGATGCCTTTCTAAATAAAGAACTTTTCTCATTCACATCCCTCATTGCATCAAGGACATAGCTGAAAGTGTTACAAAAATGGGGAAGAAAACAAAACAACAGAGGAAGAGAGAATATTAGGCAAGTAGTTATGTAAATCACAGAAACTAATGAAATATATTACAGAAATTATGAGTTCTAATCACAAGTCAGATTGATCATAAGGCATTGCAACTCCATCGAAATTTACCCGGGAGAAGAACATGATGTAACAAAGTATTGAATCAATGTTGCAACAAACAGCAACAGATATAATCCAGTGTAGGACCTGAAGGGAAAAAAAATGGCAAATAAATTCTTCAACGTTATGCTACATTGCACACTCATGTTAAAGCAAAGATGAGAACCATACCGAAGAAATTTAACAAATTTTAAAAACACATCAGTAGTTACACCCTCCTTGCATAGATTCGATAACATCCACTAACAATCACATAATTATCCACTCTATTTACCATAATATTTACCTAAAATTCCCATCACAAAGTAAATATAGAAAACACCCTTTGATTACCATGCTAACATATATAAACATCATAGGTTTGTGAACATCATTCACAGTGACTAATTAAGAATCTTGAAATTCCTAAATTTCCTCTCATTGTCAAAAGAAGGGAAAAAAAGGGCCTAATTCACCTAGCATTTCCCAACCAACTTTATAATTTCACCTTTTTTTGCGCGAACTTGCAAATTATCTTGCTGAAACACTAATCAATGTTAGCTATTGACTGTAATTAATTCATTTTACCTCAAAAACTCAATTCATTAAATTCTTTTGACCAATTAACTTCCTAATCCAACATCACTCATATGATCATAACAAGCCACCTTCAACTACATTTTCAATAATTCAATAACCCATTACAAGTTACTCCAGCAATCCAATTCAATCAACAAAACCAAAAGGTAACAAACTTTAACTTTTTATCTCGATCATTACTCTCAAAAAAGAAAGAAAGAAACAACATACCATGGCTTTTGTTTTGTTTTCTCTATTAAATCACTGTCAAAAAGAAAGAGAATGCCCGCATATACAATATGCAACAGCACTAATGCTGCTTTCAACCCCAACGAAGATCTCCTTGCTACACAAACAAAATGACACAATTAACCACAAAAACAAAAGAAACCCTTTATTTCATTTCTGATTTTCTATCACAAAGGCACCTGGATCGGCAAGGCAAGGAACAAAACGGTGGCAGAAATTGAAAATCGACATGGAAGCTAAAAAAATCATTAATTGAGAAAAAGTAAAGAAAAAAGACTAAAAAGAATTCTGGAAATTAAGAGAGAGAGAGAGAGAGAGAGGAAAGCAAAAGTGATGGTTATCTAAAAAAGGACTGATTTTGAGAGAAAAATATGTAGAATTAAAAAAGAAAAAAATAAAAAGATAGGGAGAATGGGAGAAATGATAATGTTGCCCAGTTAAAACTAATTAGGACCTCTACGAGAAGAGAAAGAGTGCGGATTCTTAGGTCTCCGACTTTCAGTAAGGAGAGCGCTAAGGAGAAGGATTCCGGGAATTAAAGTCTATTCAATTCATGGGGTTGACCAGTTGCTGTAGTGGCAGTAGCTTGATTGGAAGTTTTACTGCTCATGAATTATTATTTATCACATTTTTTATAATTTCAGATTTTATTAATTAGCCTATGAGTTAATATAATTAATTTAAATTTATTTTATTTATTTTTTATTAAATTATACTAGTTTAATAATTTGAGAATAATGTTTAATAAATTAATTCAGTATTTTTTGTGTTTTATATTTAATTATTTTTTAATTTTATTATTTAATTTTGAATGGGTTGAAATTAAACTGTTTAATTTATTTTAATTTATTTTTTATAAAAATATCTTACCTCACAGTCAAGAAAATGGATTTTAACATTTAAATTCTAATTAAATATTATTAGTAAAATATTATTTTTATAAGTTATTTGAATTATTTTTTGAAATAGTAAAATTAACCAACTTATATCGGTACCCCTAGCATAATTTTTATTATCATTAAGAATTTTTAAAAAATATATATATAAATACACGAAATATAATAAAGATAATCTACTCATAAAACTATTGATTGAGCTCATAAAAATTTGGACCAATGATAAAATCTTAAACCAAGAAAGTCAAGGTTTTAACTGCTTTCTGACACGATGAATCTTTTCTTTCCACATTTCTTGGTCTTCGGACAAGAGAAGAAAGATTGTAGGTGTATGTATACATACCAGTAAACCAAATTCAATAGCCTTTCTTTTCTTTATTTTTTTTTATTGTTATCTGTTATTGTTAATAAACATATTTATAAGGATGAAGAATTACTACTATTTGATAATTACCATGTAATGTAACTTTTAGTTTTTTTTCCTTGATTATTTTATTAATATAAATAATATTATAGATGCTCAAATCCCTTTTTTCCTTCAAGGAAGCTGAAGATGATTCATTTATAATTATTATTCTCACTTTTGGGTCTTAGTTGAGGAAATTAATTTTCTCAATTAACAGTCTCATCTTCTTCTTTATGAAGCCGATAGGATCCGACGCGCACATCAGTGAAAAATATGACCAAATTATTTTATTTTTTTTTCTCCTTGGATACTCACTCAAGCGAATCAGCTCAAATTAGTGAACACAAGAAAAAAATGGTCAAGAAAGTTAAACAACACCAGGTTTTTGAACTTATCATGGCTTTAGACATCAAAGTAGCATCGTGCTCGACATTTTCTAAGACACATTTGCAAGTTCTGAGCTCGCCAGTTTGCTTTGCGTTTGACATGGCTGAAAAGATGAGTTTAGATATTTGGGCCATGCTTGTTCCATTTGTCTGATTCGCTGTTAGGTCTATCTGCCCAATTAACCAGAGACTGGTAGCTGAAAATTTTGTATGTATATCATTGCAGGCTGGAAATGGGGACACTGACAGGTTCGCTGATTAAAACTACACCTCTACTTCCAAACTGGTCATGACAGACTTATAATTATCATATGAACTTTGTAAGAAACACTGTTACAGATTGACAAATTCCGTTTGTCAAATCAAATGAATGCATAAAGTATTGTCAAACGTCCTGTTGAGAGACAAATGTAAGTGGTTTTTTTTTTTAATTACTTTGGCAGTGCAAAGAAACAGAAGAAATAAGCAAAAAGTGTAGACAGAATGAGAAAGAAAAGGAAGAAATATTCAAGATATATGTAAATTTTCCACAGCAAACAGATATAATAATAGTCCGAGAAATCAAAATATTCCATAAATGTGGCTATATATAACAGGGCCTGCTCCTCCTTTTAAAGAATACAATAACTTTTATTTGTCATGAATTATGCTTTTTATCTGTGCGTGATTTGGGATTGAATCTCCACATAATTTCGTTATGTAAATCAGGGAAAGTCTTGCATGAATTATACAGCGTTATTGCACGTTGTTTATGACAAAGTTCTATTATTTTCACTCTACAAGAAATGTGTGCCTGCGCGTGGGGGTCTCTTAAAAGCTCTTACTTAAAAGAGTTAAAAACATAGTAATTAATAACTCAATATATATGTCATGTTTTTGGATTATATATATATATAATTGAATGAGTAAATGTTCTTGGATATGATTTATGCTAATAAAAAATCTTAAATTTAGGCCTAGACTAATAAATTAAGGATAAACATTATCGATTTAATTGTAAAGAGAATGAATTAAATTGAGTTATATAAAGTAGAGCATGGTTGATTAATGAAAGAACACGAAGAAATTCAAAAGGGGGAATTACACTTGCCTTTATAGGCTTATTCGGCTAACAATGGAGAAAAGAAGAAAATATGATTTGAATTTTATTAACAAATTGATATGTTTTTTATGTATATTTGGTAGCTTATATTGACTTTTTGTGAAGAAATAATTAAAAGGGAACCTAACTAAGGAAAGTGGCGTCTTATGTTTCGTACTAGAAAGAAGAAAAAGGGCTTGGGTTAGTTTGTATTAATTGAATAAATGAATGGATAAGGTGTTGATTAAAAAAATGATAAAGGAACTGTTATGTTATCATTGTTGAAGAGATTAGGCTTGATAAGCTTTCGGGGTAAATGAAATTGATTTAATTGATTCTTCAAACATGTTTGTTTACGTGGAAAGGTAATAAATCATGTATAAGTTGTGTGTACTGAAAAGAAAATAAACCCTCCTTGTTTAAAGGAAATTTAGCCTAAGGTTGAAAATAAGAAAAAAATTGGAATGTTTTAATTGTTTGGATGCTTATATTAGATTAGATTGTGCTAGTTGAAATTTTAATTGTTTGGATGCTTATATTAGATTGTGCTAGTTGAAGTAATTGAGATTTGAAAATAAAATCATTTCAATAAAGGTTAGAAAAGGCTACTAAAGAAATGCATATAATACTCCAAGAGAAGATATATGACTCCTCTAAACACCACCTTTATAAAAAAAAAATTACAGCTATTAAAAGAAAAGATTGTGTTTAATATCTACCTTCTATAGTGTCACCTTCACGCACATATACCTTCTCCTCTAAACACCACCTTTATAAAAAAAATTTACAGCTATTAAAAGAAAAGATTTTGTTTAATATCTATCTTCTATAGTGTCATCTTCACACACACATACCTCCAAGAAGTTTTGTTTGTTTCATAAGGATAAATAACATGATATAAAAGATTGCTTCACATTATAAAAAGAGATTGAGAGGTTGATAACCAAGTGTTATCCAAAGCAATTTATTAAAAGGCATGCCCATTTTGAAAGTGACAGAGAAAAGCCCAACCAACCTGCCTAAGCCCCACCTGAGATTAATATAATTCTAAGTAGCACTTTAGCTAAGGGTACTTATAATGGCAAGAGAAAGTATAAAAAATATGTCTTCACAACGGCTCGTCAACAAAAACTATGATATAAGCTTGTAACTTTTACTTCATAAGATGGAGAGAGGGTGACTTACCCCGATGAGGATGCATTGGTAATTTTCATAGTTCTAGCCAATCATCAAGTCTACAAGGTATTAATAGATGATGGGAGCTTAATTAATATCCTGTTTAAAGATGAGATCTTTTATATAGGGATAGATCCTTAAAGGATGTCTCATGTAAAAAACTTATTTAATTGGGATTAAAAGGTCAAAAGTGCTAATAAAAGGTGTTTTAAAGATCCCAATCACAATAGACACTTACCCTAAGTGTTTTACCTTTCAGTAAATCTTTATGGTAGTAGATATAGTTCTGGCCTATAACACCATAATAAGAAGACCTCTCTTACATATGATTAATACAGTCATAAACAAACAATATATGTTCTTGAAATTCCATACTCAAAAGGGGATGGTTATCGTCAGAGGAAACCAAGGGGCCTCAAGACATTGTGTGTCTATATGTTTGAAAGGTAAGAGGTCTTTATCTTTAGACCATCAAAATCCCCTAAAGAAGAGGGTAGAGGTTAGAAATGAGGTCACAAAGTAGTTGAAAGAAATGTCTTTAGGACATGATGAGGGGCTGTCACCAAGATAGTCTTAACCTTATAACCACCTCAATAACTATTATTAACAAATTTTCTCTTCACCTGTAAGATCAACTTTGCTTTCAACACTTTAGATATGTCAAGGATCATCCTAGATATATATGTTACAAACTTCAAGTTAATCTAATTTTCCCTTATATTCTATAGAAAAAGAAAAATTTTGAGTGGAAAGACAACAAGCAATAACTGTAGAAGTGGATAAATTATTAGTTGTTAGGTTTATTCATGAGATCATGTATCTGAATTGGTTAGGTAACGTGGTAATGATAAAGAAAAGCACCAGAAAATAAAGGATGTGTGTGGACTTCACCGACCTAAACAAGATCTGTCTAAAAAATAGTTTTTCTCTCTCAATGATTGACAAACTAGTGGACTCTACAATTGACTTTTTTAGAGTGTGTTTGATATTGCGGTAGCTGTTATAGTTATGGTTTGAAAAAAGTTGTTTTATAAAAAATACTTTTAGTTGAGGTTGGTTTGAAAAAATAGGTGTTTGGTTAAAACTGTAATTGAAATTGAGGTTGAAGAAAAAATAGTTTAATGTGTTTGATTAATAATGCTTTTAAAATTGAGGTTATAAAATAATTTTAAAATATATATTAATATTGATAGTTTAAAATTTAAATATTTTAGAATTAATTACTCCTATTACATCATGACATAAAAAATACTTTTTATTATTCCATTAAACTATTTATAATTCCATTACGTACAAAATTCATCCGATAAGAACTATAGTTTTTATAATTTTTTGAGTGAAGATAAAATATTATCAGGCATAAAATTGATATTACAGTAGAAGTAAATTTAATTCACTTTATACTAATATTTTTTTAAAAAAATGTTAAATCACTGGAAAAAAAAATGTGAACAGTGCAAGAGAATTGCACTGTTCACATGCTCCACTGTTCAGTGAATAGTGGAGTATGCCTTCCCTGTTCACTGAACAGTGAACACATGCCTCCACTGTTTAGTGAACAGTGTATCATGGTTGAATTTAAGAGCCACGCAAGAAAGCAACATTTTTCTGCTTTCCATCTTCCTACGTTTCGTACGCAATTTATTATGGGACCATGCACAATAAGTAGCTGTTTTTTGTTAACCAAACATTTACTTCGTGCGTTTTTGAAAAAACACAAACTCTAACGCGTAGCCAAACGACTTCTTAAGCTTTTTGGATGTTAATTCAATGTACCGTCAAATCCTTATGTATCTAAAAAATGAGAAGAAGACTTTTTTCATTACAAAATGATAAACTTTTTACTAGAAGACAATTTCATTTGGCTTGAAAATCACAGGGTCCACTTACTAGCAAATGGTCAATAAAGTGTTCAAACACCAAATTAGAACAAACATGAAAGCTTATGTGGATGAAATGCTAGTGAAAAACATAACTTTTGAACAACATTTAAAGGTTCTAGAAGATGTTTTTTTTCCTGTTTTTAGTAAATGTTAGATGAAGCTAAATCCTTTCAAGTGTGTATTTCTTATCAGAAGAGGAAAGGTTTTGGGTTTTCTAACAAGCAGTAATGGAATAGAAGTCAATCCTAAGAAGATTCAGAAAATACTGGATATTACTCCTCTTTGAAAGGTTAAGAATGTTTAATGCCTCACTGGTAGACTAACCTCCCCCAGTATATTCATATCCAAGTTAAAAGAACACAACCTACAATTCTTCAAAATTTTGAAGAATATCACAAACTTTAAATGAACATCAGAGTGCTAGAAAGCTTTCGAAGAGGTTACAGTTTATCTCATATCTCTTAAGATCTTGTCACATCCAAAAGAAATTGAGAGTTTATTCCTTTATCTTGGTATTTTTTACTAGGCACTTAATGTCATGTTGGTAAGAGAAGAAGATGACATATAATACTTGGTTTACTATTCTAGTCAAACTCTTCATAATGCTGAAATAAGATACTTGAAAGTGAAAAATATAGTCTTAACTTTAGTGAACACCTCTAGAAAGTTAAAATTGTACCTCTAAGCTCATCAAGTTATGATATTAACAGACTAGCTTCTATGACAAATTCTCCACAAAGTATACATGTCTGGATAACCAATAAGGTGAAAAATTAAATTAGAAAATGGACTTCTACATCACAAGGCTCCACAAAGTATACATGTCTGGATAACCAGTAAGGTGAAAAATTAAGTTAGGAGAATATAGACTTCTACATCACAAGACCAACTATTAAAAAGTAAGTCTTAACAGAACTTATAGTTGAATACTCTTCTAAGAATGATCTCTAGGACAAGTTTATTCCAATAGTTGAACATTAGATCCCCTTAGAAAAAACTTTGATCCCCTCGTAATCAATACAATTGATCCCACCTTTAGAATTATATATTGATAAATCTTCCAATTCTATAAAAAGTATTTATGAGCTCTCATCAGCAAGTCTTTGATTATGGAATTCAATTTGAATTCTTAGCCACTAACAATGATATTTAAAATCAGAGACCCTACTTTAACAAAATACTTGCCAAAAATTCAAGAGCAACTCTCTAGGATAGATAAAGATAAAGAAATTCTAAATGATCGTATTTCAAAAGAAAGAATGGAAGGATAGATTTCTTGTTCAAAAATCATTGACTTTATCGTCAAAAAATTCCTAAATCCCATCAAAAGAGACTATTTTGTAATTGTTGAGTTTTATATCACCAATCATCAATTTTATAAATTCTAAAAAAAAAATGACATGAACATTTAATCACTCTTTATATAAACACTCTAAGAACCCTCCTTGGATATATTAGATTTTAAGATATCATCACTATTAAAGGTTTTCAAACTGAATAATATATAAGGTTTAAACTCAAAGAAAAAAAAATTTGTAAACACACACAATAGTCTAGATATAAAATTTTAATTCAGAGGCGAAGGTATCAAAATAAATTATATAAAATATAAGCTCCCTCTCGTGATTAAAGATTATTTATAGATGGTGGAACAAATTTTAGTCCTACATTTTTTAAACAACGGCGAAGGACAAAACTAAACTTGTATTGATATCTTTTATGCATAGAAAAAACACAAAATTGTATTTCTTATTTCACAGTTCGATTTTAATTTGTCCCGTTTGCATCCATAGCATAGTCTTTTCCAATCAACCTTATTAATTGCAGTTTAATCTTGTTCATTCAATGCTATCTGCTGATAAAATACCTCCTAATATCCTACTTGCTAAAATGTACGGGGGACCATGTTAAGATCTGCTTATTCATCAGCTGGCATTTTTTATATTGGGAATATGAATAATTAAAAATTGATAATTAATAAAATAATAAACTCACACACACAATCGGCAATGAAAAACGCAAATACAAGTTCCCGTCAGAGCTTTTGTATTGGGAAGCATATTCTCGTGAAAATCTTGAATGCAAGCTGGGAGATGGTGGAATCAAACACCAAGACATATATTTCGTTACTAGCAAGGACGGAATCAAACATAGAATCTCAGGTGCATGAAAACAGTCCATGAATTGTAGCCGCTTAAATCAACCATTAAAATTAAGTACCTATATTTTAATTTTTTTCTTTGGAATATGTGACCTTGGAGAAGATCCATTTTGTTGTATTTTATTTTGCCAGATGCCAATGGATCGAGTCATCCCTTTCTTTGTGAGGAGGTAGGTTTGTTTTTTAAAATTATAATTTCGTTTTTTAATCTAAAAGGAGGCTATATGAATTTAGATGTAGATGAGTCGTCCATAAAATTTGATTAAAAAAGGAACTGCTCTCTGTGTTTGAAAGCTTACTCAAGAATACCCTAGTCATTAACCAAAAAAAATCTTAAATTTTTAGAAATTGGCATAAAAGAGAAAGATGCATCAGTTCAAAGAATATAGTTCCAGATACAGTTTGATTCCGTGGCTAGAACAATCCGCCAGCCTTTTGTTTTATAATCCTAATTACCAAGAAAATGAGCAACATAAAACCTTACTATCTTGTCCACTCCTAAGGTCAGTTGCTATATAATAATTATTTGCGACGTCCATGTTCATAACACAATCACTTAAAGTAGGAGAAAAAGATTTATTGCACAACCAATGACAAACAGAAACACTTCATGCTTTTATTTTCTTTCCTTATTGCTGGCCAATCTGGCCTTTCACCCGGCTGATGCTGCTGTACCAGCCATATTTGTATTTGGTGACTCAACTGTTGATGTTGGTACAAATAATTTCATACCCGAGTGCCGAGGAAAGGCGAACTTCCGGTACTATGGGATTGATTATCCCGGTTCGGTGCCTACCGGAAGGTTCAGCAATGGCTATAATTCTGCTGACAGTATTGGTATGGATCGACTATTTGAAACTATTAAACAAAATTTGCTACTAATTCAAAAAAAACAGAAGAAGAAGAAGCAAGTGGTACTTGAGAGCACAGATAGTTCAGCAAGTTTAGCAATCTTCTGAAATGCTAGCAATTCTTTCAGATAGTTTAGCAATCTTCTGAAATGCTAGCAATTCTTTCTTTCATAACATAACGAGAACTTTTTTAACATTTCAGAACTTCATTTATTGTGACATAGAAATATTTATAGCTAATGATCAATGTTTGCTTGGACAGCTCAGCTCTTTGGTTTTAAGAAGAGCCCGGAATCCTTCTTTTATCTTCTCAATCAAACATCGAGTTTCAAGCACAACATACGATGTGGTGTCAATTTTGCATCGGGAGGTTCAGGGATTATCGACACCACCGGATTCCAATTATTTGTAAGCCTTAATTTCTGTCATTGAAAAACTGTTACATTTGTGTCATCTTATTTAGTTTGTTTCTAAATTTACGTCATAGGGTAGTAACTAATGAAATTCATTTTATAATAACTTTCCAGACGAAGGTCGTGCCGATGAGAGAGCAGATTCAACAATTTTCAACAGTCTGTGGAAATCTCACAGAAATATTGGGTGCAGAAGCTGCTGCTGATATGCTATCTAAGTCATTGTTTCTCGTCAGTGTTGGAGGCAATGACCTCTTTGAATATCAGCTAAATAGGTCTAAGAATTACCCTAATCTGCCTGAGGCGCAAGAGCTGCTACGCATTCTATCATCAACATATCAAATTCATCTACGGGTAAGAAATTGCATTTCCAGGCGATGCAAAATGTCTCACTACTTATGCCACAATGTTTCCAAAACCGTCTGCAATCATTCCACTTACTGATGCTTTTGACAGGCATTAACGGCAAATATGAAGATGATTTTATTCAAGCCTTGATTCTAAATCTATCTCTAACTCCCTTAAATTGTTTTCTAAATATTAGAAGAAAAAATTGATTATATCAATTTGGCATATATCGTGGCAGAGTTTGTACGACTTAGGGGCTCGGAAATTCGGCGTTGTAGGCATCGCACCAATCGGATGCTGTCCGCTAGAGCGTGCTCTTGGAACTGGTGATTGCAACAAGGAAATGAATGATTTGGCTCAAGCATTCTTCAATGCCACTGAGATCCTCTTACTAAATTTAGCCTTTCAAGTTCAAGACATGAAGTACTCTCTTGGAAATCTTTATGAGATAGCTTATGAGGTCATTAATGACCCACGATCCGCCCGTAAGTTTTTCATTCTAACAAAGAATTTTATCAAAAATGCTCTAAGCACTACAAGAAATCACGTCTAAGTTGACAAGTAGAGCTGACAACCTTCAAGTTTTTGTCATTTTTAGCTCTAAGACAATAAAATACGATAATTTGTCACATTAAAAATTATAGTATTTTCTTAATTTAATCATCCTGATCATTTCTCAGGTTTCAAGGAGGCGCAAACAGCATGCTGTGGGAATGGAAGCTACAATGCCGAATCCCCATGTAATCTAGATGCAAAGCTTTGTCCGGATCGTCGAGAGTACGTATTCTGGGATGGAATTCACCCAACTGAACGAGCAGCCAAATTAGCAGCTCGGGCCCTCTTTGTTGGAGGAGCAAAATATGCAACACCTGTGAATTTTAGTCAGTTGATAGGGGATTAATATCCTGATACAACTAATTAATAAAATGCAATAATATGAGTTGTATCAATGATGAAGAAGATCGATGATCCTTCGCCAAATCCGGAATGTTAACAATCCCACTTTAATTATCCTATTTCAATAAAGAACTGTTACTTTCTATATTTTTGGATCATTGAACTCTTTATTTTTTCAAAAAACAAAACACGAAAGAAATATGTCATAATTAACAAATATTTAGGAGAAGATTTAGCAGCAATCATGTGCCGCAATTACGTATATTTATGGCGATTTTCTATAATATCTATAGAATAAACAAGTCAAATGACACCATCCTAAAAAAGGAAAGAAAAACAAACAACATGAGAAGAAATGGTCACATTAATGGCTTCATTTAAATGCCTTTTAAAAAACAATTGTGTTATAGTTACTGTCTAGCTAAAACAAAAGATCATAAGAGTCAACAAAATATTAGTATCATTTAACGTTTTTTATTATTATTATTAAAAAAGCCCTTGACAAGAAATTAAAACGTCATTTAATAAGTTAATTTTTTTTAATTTCTCATCTATTTGTCCTTCACATTTGGAACAACACAGAAAGTAGGTTTGAGAACCAAGGTCTTTGTTTGTCGTGGATATTTTTTTTATTTTTTTGTCTTTGTTTGTCGTGGATATTTGAAACATTGAATTGTTGAATGCATGGAGGCAAGTGAAGATCCCAAAGAACTTACTAGAGAATACTTTTTTCTTTCCTTTCTTTTTCTTTTTTCCTTTCCCTGTTTTCAGAGATGAATATAGAGCATTCAAGAATTTAGGAGAATATATTTATAATAACTGAAATTTGAATGTATAAAATCTTGAAATCACTCGACTTGCCGCTGAGAAGAAAGCAAATTTAATTTATCATCATAACTCTAAAAATTCTTGAATGCAAGCTAGCTAGGAGTAATATACAGTGAGACAGCGTAGGCTAAATAGACATGATCATACATATCGTTACTAACGAAGATGGAATTAAACATAGAAATCCAAGTTGATCGAAGCTGAAATCTGTAAACAAAATTGCTTATAAACTCTCGCTCAACATGCAAGTATATTTTAATTTTTTTCCTAGCTAGAACACCTTTGATCGAAGCTTGGATTAGGTGAGAGAAGCATGACATAGGTGATTATAGATAACTTCTGGAGGTAGATGATTGGTTTAGGACTTTATTATTGAGAGATGTAGTAGGTATTTAGAGATGTTTCAAGTGAATGTTTTTTAAAGTGTTTTTAAATTTAAAATATATTAAAATAATATTTTTTATATAAAAATTATTTATAATATAGTATATTAAAATAACATGAAAACATACAAAATTAATTTTAAATAAAAAATAAAAAATTTTAAAATGCAAAAATAACATAAAAATAATTGAGAATACAAAAATAAAAATCTAACGGCAACATTTCCTCGGAAACATGTGCTCCACTTTGTTCAGTTTTTTATTTGCATATTTAATATTAACTTGGAAATCCCAATTGATTGAGTCATCTTTTTCGTATTGTAGGAGTATTAACTACATCGTTTTCTATGGATTTGTACAAGTGGAATATATATATATATATATATATACATATATATATATATATATAAGGAATATATGGTGATTCATAGATGGTTCTATGACTAAGAGAATCCGCCATGTCTTAGTTTGACCAGTTTAGGACAATAAAAACATAGACTTACTCTCTTGTCCGCTCTTAAAGTTATTTGTTAAAAATATATGGGAAACTTCAAAAAACTAAAGTATTTTTATTGGCATATTAAATTCTCATAAATTATACTTTATATATTCTAGCTACCAATAACACTTAAGAAAAATGATGAAACGAAAAAAAAAAAATATATATATAATATATATATATATATATATATGATATTAAAAAGGTGTTTGGGTCCGTTGCTGCTGCTGCAGTCGGTATCAAAAATTATTTTAAAGTGTTTGGTTACTACTGACCATACTTTTTTTACGTGGGCCCCCCTTTAAAACTGAGGTTAGACCTCAGTTTTTGAAAAGCAAAAAATATTTTTTTTGTTGTTGTTGTGTTCTCCTCTCTCTCACCAACACTGTATAATTTTAATTAACATTGCAAAATTTTCCCGTTGGAGAGCCCATTTTCCCCTCTTTCCTAATTCGTTTTGATTTTTTTAGCCTTAATGACGATTCTGTTGAACACCTTATCCTCATCCAAGATCCTTTCCAAACAATTCAAGTGGTCTGAGTTCACCATGTGCTTTGATTCCATTGGATCCTTTCCAAAAGTTTCCCCTAGTTTTTCTTTTAGCCCATCGATGTTGAGGAGGCATACATCTTTTTTTGCCCATTATCGAATAGCCATCTTTTAATTAACAGTAGCTATGCTCTCTCCTTCTAGTTCTAGGACAACTGCTGTAAAATACTTCGTTGCACTGGTAATTACATCCTAATCTTGTGTTGTTTTTAGGCCGAGGGAGAAAGAAAACGAAGAAGAGGCAAATGGAGAACTGAAGGGAAGAAAGGATTTGGTGCTCTACATGGTGGTGGTTGGTTCTGAAAATTTACAGATTTTTATCTGTGATTGAAAACGATGCCCTTTAAAAACAAGTATAAATACAAATTAAACATGCTTGGTTTTCATTGGTTGGTGAAAATTCAGACAAGTTTTTATGTAATAATGGCAACAAAATATATATTGCTTATGCTATTATAATTTATTTTTATAAAGCTTTTTTATTTAGTGGTTATATTTAGAGATAATTTTTGTTAGAGATAATATATATATATATATATATATATATGTTTATTTAAAAAAAAATTAAATATGTGGATGTTTTGTTGTATCAACGACACTATATAACTATATTAGAAAGAGATCGCAAGATGATGAGATTTTTTCCGAGTATAATCGTGATTCCAATTTCATTACCTGATATTGTACCTCGCTCAGCTATTCAAAAATCATAGAGGCCTTTACGTATAGGATTTGTATGCGATAGAATTGAAACCACAACCACAAAAACAACCACAATACCAAATAGACTCTAATAACCCAAACATGAAAATCTGATCTAGAAACACAATTATTCTCTCTTCATCGAAAAGAACAAATGACGATACCTTTCCCTTTAGATGAGATAGGTAATTGCAAAATAGTAGTAATTAACAATATTTTGTGATTTCATACGCACAACAATGAATTTCCAATTAAGGTAAAATTATTATTAGAAGCTCAATTAAAAGTTATAGAAAAACCCTAACCCTAAATATCGATTTTTAAATAATATATAAGTTAACTATCGTGTTACCAAACTTTTGAGCAATTTGACCTTGATCTAAGTTGATATAATATTATAGATAAATTTCTTGATTTTTTTTGGTTTTCTTATTTCAATAAAAATATATTCAATTCAACAACCTTCTAAAACTGAAACTTCTAATATGAAATTTCAATTATACATAAAAACTAGCAACTATTGTATGCTAAGCAATTGTGATCTAAGTTTTTAGTTAGTTTATTTTTATATTTTTTCCCTTTTCAACTTTATATTTTTTATATGTTTCTCTATAATTTTGATAAAAAGGTTTAATAAATAGCAAAATATTTTTGGTTAATTCAATCCATGTATCTCACACTAATTCATGTCCACACACTAGATAATTGATTTACACTATGATATGGGCTGGATCAATTTTTTTTAATGTAAAAAAACATTTAGATATTACTAATATTTTTTTAGTGAAAAAAATTTAAACTATGTGATTGCTAATTCGATGTAACCCAGTTGATTTTCCAACTCCAAAAGCAACTTGGATGACAAATAAAAACATCATTTAACTAAAAATAAATAAATTTAAAATGATATTTTTTTTAATATTAGGATAACAACATATTAGATTAAACTGAGTCAATTTGGATTAACATATTAAATTGTATCTAATTTCCTATAGAAAACAAATCAAAACAAATTATAAAGTCTAATTTCCAATCAACTCAATATTGAAGAATGTAATTGAAAAAAAATCAATCAATTAAAAAAAGATCTAAAACAATAACCCGAGTTAACTTGTCAAACTCACGATTTAAGTCATAAGTCCAAGATAAACTTTTTTTAAAAAAAAAAAATTACAAAGTTCAATTCTCAATCAGTTAAATGTTAAAGAATAAAAGTAAACAAATCAATTAAAAAGAAACATACAAAATGATCCAAATTCAATCCACCAAACTCATAATCTTATTCATGAAACTGAGATATAATCTCATAGAAAAAAATAAAACAAGAACTTAATTTAACCCGAATTAACTTGCTAAATCCACAACTTTATTCATGAGATTAAGATAAATTCATATAGAGTAAATCAAAATAAATTATGAAGCTCAGTTGATTATATCAAACCAAATGCTGAACAATAAAATTTGAAAAAACATTTATTAAAAAATAAAACAAAAAACGAGTCAAGTCAATACAGTTTAAAACATTTAAAACTATTCCTAGATCATGAGATTAAGATAACTCATAAAAATCAAACCAAAATTAATCATGAAATCTAATTATCAATCAAACATAATATTAAAAAATAAATTTTTAAAAAAAGTCAATTAAAATAAAAATAAATTTTTTTAAAAAAAGTCAATTAAAATAAAAAAAAAATTAACTAGATTAATCTGTCAAACTCACAACCATGATCATAAGACGGAGACAACCAAATAAAAAACAAATACAATGTTAAAAGACATGAGAATGAGATGGCATCATAGAAAAAAAAAATTAAACAAATAATATGATTTAATCAAGGATAAAACACCAAAACTTGTGGTCTTAATCAAGAGAAGAAGATATCTCCATAAAAAATAAATTAAAATAAATTATAAAATTTAATTTTTAACTGATTTAATATTAAATGATAAAATTAAAAAAGATTTTAAATTAAAAAAAAAAAAAAAACAACCTAAGTCAACTCGAGTTAACTCGTTAAACACTATTCTTGAGTTATAAGATTGAAATAATCTTGTAAAAAGAAAATATAACAAATCATAACGTCTAATTCCTAATTAACCCAAT